AAACAAGTTGTTAGTTCTCTAAAACAAGGGCTCCCACAATTGTAAATCCTGCAGCTGAACAATTTGAGTAAAACATGGAAGGCTCCAGGTGTGCACAATGTGAATTTGTGTGAATTGCATATCATCCTCATCCAACTCCATTATTGTGTTGTGTGTGCAATCTGATTTTTCCAATGTTTGGTAAAATCTTCATTGGGGTTTCACACATTAAAAGCAGTTGTTTCTAAAAGAGTTCAAGTTTTAATTTAAAGGAGAAATAAAAATGGATTGGAATTTTATCTGAGTCCCTTTCTATGTTTGTTGTGAATGATCCTAGTATGTATAAACTTGTAAAATTCTAGTTTGACAGAATGTGAATCTTCTTCACTTATGGGAAGATGAGGAGTCACACCAATGTATTATGTTATTGTTTACATTAGTGCCATATATAAAACTAAGCAATTTTATATCACACATATAGGGCTTGATTTTAAAATTGGGCTCCCATTTTGAACCTGTAAATAACGGGAAATAAAAATGATGGTATGTCTATTTTTATCTGAATACCTGGTTTGCTGTAACTGCAAAATTGTAGGTGAAAAATGGGAGGCTGGATGGAGACTCCTTTAAAATTTAACTTCTGAAGTTTACCTTGAGCAACAGAAAGAAATTAAAATTCACATTATGTCTGTGTCAAATATAACTGTATATACATAGTTTATATACACTTTTGATAGTAATATATCTTTTTAGAACATGAGATGTAATCAGAAGACAGAAGCACTCAATTTTTGTAGTAAATATTAAATATTTTAAAAAATGTCACTGAGGAATTATGACATTTTTATTTTACCCTTGGTGTGTGGTGTGATTAATATAATTCATTCTACCCTCAATTTGTGCACAGAACTACCCTAGATGTCCGTGGGAGTCTTGCATGCAGAACAGTGGAAGAATATTACCCTATGTTCTGAGGCTATTGATAGTGTACAAATACAGAATAACAAAGAACAAGGAAAAATTACAATAAGGTATAATAATGAAGTTCTTGCTTGCATACAAACAGCCTTCATCAGGATGTATTTGACTAAATATTCATATTTAATTATTTTACAAACAAGTTATTAAGCCTGTATAGGCTACTTTGTTCCTTCTGTTCCTTATTTTTGTTGTTAAAAATATGGGGGAAATTTGACTATACACTCATATGTGTTTTTATTGATATATGGAATATCATGAATAAACAAGTTTCCAAAAATACTCATTGGCTTCTTCATTATCTATCATTATTATAATAAAAGTAAGTATGTGATTAGCATTTGAAATATTAAAAACTGTCTAATTTTGTTTACTGGAATCTTGTACAGGACTTGGAGGATACATAATGGGCAAAGAGAGGATTTGTTTTGCATTGTATTCTTAAACCCACACAACCTTTTAAAAACTTATTAACAGGTATCTAATGCTTGTTGCTTTCCTTTCCCTAGAAATGAAAATTTCCATAGTAATGCATGCTGTATTGTCTAGAGCATGTCTCACTTTTTACTTTTCTGTCTCTTATCTTTCCTTCTGCTTTTCAGTGTACACGATTCTCTCTAAGGTGCACTCTGATCGGAATGTATATCCTTCTGCTGGAGTTCTTTTTGTTCATGTTTTGGAGAGAGAATACTTTAAGGGGGAGTTTCCTCCTTATCCAAAGCCTGGTATGGGATGCTTAGATCTTCCATGTTATAGAAAAATATCATTTTTACTTTTAAATTCAAGATCTCAAATGTATCTAGAATACTTTGTAGTACAGTATTGAACATATATCACTTCAACACTTTTAACGTTGGTTGACTCTTCTATACTGGTAAAGTAAGTGGATAATTTCAAGTGGTTTTAAATCTTATCTTATGCCTGAACTACAGGTATGCATTGCTGTGCATCTTGAGAAGCCCAGTTATGGACTTTGAAATGTTCAGTAACGCATGTTATGAATCTAAGATTAGAATCTGGCACTTTTCTTTGGTATCCCATTAAAAATGTAGTCGTACAAGCTTAATTTTAATTTTAAAATGATTGAGTCATATGGTGATTTTTGTAAAATATGCCCCATTTGAGATTGTATCCGTTTCTTACAAAATAAATAGTGATATTAACAATTTGTGTCAAAAAGCATCTTATACATTTTATAAAATTACTTTAAATACACAAGGAACATTTAAAATTTTTATTTTAAATGTCTTTAGCATAGAGCAGTGATGATTATTTTCTTTCAAATAAAATGAAAGCTTCCTTGGTTTCAATCCTATTTTGTTTCTACATGCAGTAACTTTTTTAAATTGTAAAGCAGTCTTTTGTCATAGAAAGGGCTATATTTTCATAAGTATAGTATTTTGACTTTCATCCATGAAGTAAAACTAAAGGAAGATCATTAGCAAGATAGAAAACATAGGTTTGAATTCATCTCAAAAACTATATGAAGATAAAGGACATTTCCCCCCACTTTGCTTATAAATTATTTAGCCTTCTAGAAGCAAGTAAAATTGAAAAGTTCTACTTCATTGACAATCTTTTTAATTTTGATTTTGGAACATGGTGCCTTGAAACCACATTGGGGAAAAATAGCATTTGTTTGAATGTCATATGTTTAAAATATTCTCAAGAGAAAAAAATGACTTAATTTGTTTTTATTTTCTTTAATCTTCTCTAAAGGTGGATGTCTTGACAGACCCTTACTCTTGAGTTTGTGCTCCATGTGTGTGACTGCTGGAGCTACAGAGTTTTACTGTCAGCCAATAATATGGTGAAATGTGCCTATCTCAGGCCCAATTTGTCCCCTCCTGAGATAACAGCTTAGGGATGTAAATGGAAGGAATTTGAAAGTCCTTTCCTAATTGCAGATTGTCTCTAGAACATTGCTACCTCAACTCCACGTCTGAGGCATGTTACACAGCTGCAGTGTGAATCTCTGTCTTGTACAATTGTGACCTCATGATCCATTGAAATTGCCCCACCCGTAGGCATCATGAATACCACATTGATCATCAAGACCCAACATTAGGATGACCAGATGTCCCAATTTTATAGGGACAGTCCCGATGTTTGGGTCTTTTTCTTATATAGGATCCTATTACCCCCAATCCCCAGTCCGGATTTTTCACACTTGCTGTCTGGTCACCCTACCCAACATTTGCAATATAGTCCTTGTTTAAAACTATTGTGTATGACAAATCTGCTCTGCCAGATCCTTAGCATCATGGAGCCTTTCCTGGAGAAGGACTTTGAAACAAGCCACATCTCAGACTGCTGATGTATTAAAATTGACTTTGAGGAACAAACTGTGAAATGGGGTAATTTAGGATGAACCCTAGCGACTGTAGCACCCTGGTGAGATTATTCCCAGAGAAGTGATGTTGGGAGGGCTTTCTGTGTTGCCATGATAACATGTTTAACTGATGTCTTAGCATATTGCTGTAGTATCGTGGTTGATTCTCAATTTCCCCTGACACCCTGAGGTTTCATTGATTTTTGAATTTGGTTTGTGTTTAACTCACCAGTTAAAATGAAGACCATCCATCATCTGGGTTATGAAAGTCCAAATAAGCAGAAGTCAAAATCATACACTTTCTTTGTCCAGTCTCCCACTGTTGCTTCCTGGGTCTCTCTTCTTGAGAGTCTGCACAATCTTTTTCTGATGTTTCTCATTCTAGGTTACAGGTTCTCTTCCTGGATGTCTGTGCAAACTCTCACTCCATTCATGTAGCGAAGTGAATGGGAAGTTCTTCCTGCCCTCTATTGGCAGCTGTACACTTGGGCTGAAAAGAAAACAAGTGCCTGATTCAAACCCCAGCCCCCCATGTTCCCTTCCCCGAGGCTTCTTCCTTCACTTGCTTCCACTTGTTCTTTGCCCTTCCCAACATTACCTAATAAAACAGTCTTAAACATCGAGCTTCCTCTTCTGGCACTTCTTCTCCAGCCATCCAGTTCTCTAAGTGGTACTTTTGATGGCCACTGCCCAGGGTCCTTCCAAGATACGTCCTGTCCACAGCTCCTACTCGTTATCTGCATCCTCCGGCTGTGCGAAAAAAGAGCTGCTCATTTACCCTATTCCCAACATACCTTGCCTGGAGTTTCAAACTTTCATTCGCTTTAGGAACTACAGATCACAACATTCCTGGGGTCTGTGCTGAAATCAGGAGCAGGACAGTGTTCAGTGAGGAGCCTACCCTTAAAGGGCCAGCACACCATATTTAAGTGTTATTTTACCAGTTAAAAATTGTCTCAGAGAAATCTTGTTGTCCTCCTGTCTTTTCGGCTATCACAAATTTCTTAAAACAAAATCCTTTCCCTCTTCTGTCCTGTGGCACAAGCTTGTTGGCAGCGATTACCTCTTTCCAATCTTCTGATCTAGGGGTAAATTTGGAAGAGTTTCTCTAAAGCAAATCTGTTGCTCAGTTGTCAGTGTTGAGGACCTATGTGTCTTGACATGACCACACATGTTAAGGTGCGAAAAAAACCAGTCTCCCTCTTACAGTAAGGTCCTCAGAGGTAGACATTGTTTCTAGAGCCTTTAAAAATGTAAAGGTTTTTGTTGCTTGGAAATACTGGGCTTTGGATCCTTTTGCTTCTGTTGGTAGGGAGGCTGGATGATTTGGTGTTCTGGGAAACACAGGCCCCTGTGAAGCCAGGACCTAGCAATTGATGGGTGGAAGCAGAAGGGGTCATTAGGGCTCTAAGAAAGTACAAGCACACTCCACTCTGCTGTTGGCTATACATTTCAAATATGGGATTCCTGTCAATTACACATGCTGAGGCATGGACTCAGGAGTGTGGCTCTCTCAAACTGCACTTTTTTGATAATAAAAAATTACAGTTTTATTATTTCCCCATGGAACTGCAATGATGTGTTACAAAACATTATAGTAATTGTGTTTATATGACAAAACTGAACTCAAAATTATTTAATGGAAACTTCAAAAACAAGGTGCATAAAGTTCATTTTTTGAAAACATTCTAATATTGTGTATCTTATCTAGGTGAGATCAGTAATGATCCTATAACATTTAACACCAACTTAATGGGTTACCCTGACAAACCTGGATGGCTACGCTACATTCAGAGGACACCATACAGTGATGGAGTGCTGTACGGATCACCAACTATAGAAAATGTGGGCAAACCAACCATCATTGAGGTACTTCCTTTAAAAGCATCAGAAGGTTTTATTTCATTTTTAAATCTTTATCACTTAATGTAAAATAGTGTGCAAAATAACTTCATGAACAATTAAATGAAGAACATCTAAATATTTAACTTTGCACTTCTCTTCCCTAGAAATATACCACTTATCTTTCCCTTCAGTGCAAACAAATACAGTTGTTAAATCAATAAACAGATTTGTTATTTACTTTTTATTACTCAGTGGTAAATTATTCATGTTTACTTTTGTAACTAACACCAAAACATTTTCCTATTCTAATCTCCTAATTACTAATGCTGACAAAAATCACTATTTGTTGTATCTACATCACTAATATGAATATGATTATAAAATTTTAAAAGTACTAATTATATAGTGAACAGCAGTTGAAAGACAAAAGCTGTATGATTCTCAGTCATGCCTTTGGTCCCACACCACAGATTAGCAAGTCAATGGGGCAACTCTGCAGCTCACAACATTATGAAAAAATTGCTAAATTAACTTGCCAGTTCCACCAATTTTGCTTGGGCAGCCATATATTTGTGTCAAACTCTTGATTAATTGCTTTTCTTGATTTTATTAACTTGTTCTTCTCCAAAGATAAAACTGTGAACACCAGGTTCTGATCCTACAAACAGTTCCGCATGTGGTTAATTTTATGTACATGTGTGATGTTCCCCTCTGGTGTTATCTGGACTGGTGATCTGCTAGGTCACCCCAATCCTTGACTCTGGGAGCCAGCCTTACCCTGCTCTGCTGTGAGAACCCCCACTCCTGGGCTGTTCACGCACAGCCTCTGGCATGTAAGCTGCTTCTTGGATTGTGCAGTCGAATGACACTAGCCAATATCTCCGGTCCCAGACACAACCTTAGGAATCTCCGTCTTGCAGTGTCAAGTTATGCCCACTGAACGCTGCAAGCTTATACGAGTTCGTCAATTTAACAAAGAAATTGATATGTACCAGGCTTGTTATACTAAGGAGAGTCTCTGCCAGGCTTCAAACCAAACGCACTGCTTCAGGTAGAATAAACAGATTATTAACTATAAAAATAGATTTTAAGTAATTATAAGTCAAAGCATAACAAATTGGATTTGGTAAAATGAAAGAAAAGAAAAACGCATTTTAAGCTGATCTTAACACTTTCAATGCCCTTACAAACTTAGATGCTTCTCACCACAGGCTGGCTGGTTGCTCTTCAGCCAGGCTCTCCCCTTTGATCAGCGCTTCAGTCACTTTGTGTGGTGTCTGTAGATGTAGGTGGAAGAGAGAGGAAGAGCATGGCAAACGTCTCTCCCTTTTATCATGTTCTTTCTTCCCTCTTGGCTTTGCCCCTCCCCCTGCAGAGTCAAGTGAGCACTACATCATCGCAGTCCCAAAGTGGCCAAAGGAAGGGGAGTGACTTACTCAAGAGTCCAACAGATCCTTTTGTTGCTGCCTAGGCCAGCGTCCTTCGTTCCTGTGAGGCTGGGCTGGGTTTGTCCCATACCTGCCCTGATGAGGTGTGAACTGCCTCTCTGCTCTTGGAGAATTTTTGCCTGGGCTTATTTTAAGCCATGAGGATAAATTTTCAGCCTCATAACTACATACATGACATTATAACCTATAACATTACTGTAACAACAATGCTCAGTGCATCATGAGCCTTCCGAAGACACCCGACGTGACAAACTTTGCATTGGATACTGTACAATCATTTTACAAGGATGAACATGTGGGTGCTGGGTGTTCCCCTGAGGTATAGAGCATCACAACATGGTTAGTCCAATTGATTTCAGTGGCACTAATCACATGCATAACATTAACCATGTGCAGAACAGTCTGCAGGATCAGAACCCTAGAAAGAAACTATTTTTAAAATTGTTCTTTTTTAAATGGTGTCTGTTTCCAAACCTGCATCAGGATCTGCGAGGATGGATTCGTGCTGCTATATAAAGTACCATTGAAGTCAGTGTGACTTTGCACAGGTACAAGGATCTTTGCACAGATGCATTAGCAAATCCCAGTATAGGACTAAAGATTCTACATGGGCACAGAAATATGCTAGTGATACCAATGCATGATTGGGGCCTACATTTTGTTGTGATATATATATTTTATATGGCTTAGGTTTAAAATAGGTTACTTGTTACCAAAGTTTAAGAACAGCCATTCTGGATCAGACCAAAGGTCCATCAAGCCCAGTATCCTGTCCTCTCACAGTGGCCAATGGCAGGTGCCCCAAAGTGAATAAACAGACAGGTTATCATCAAGTGATCCATGCCCTGTCACCCAATCCCAGCTTCTGGGAAATGGAGGCTAGGGACACCATTCCTGCCCATCCTGGCTAATAGCCATTGATGGATCTCTTTTCCATGAATCTATCTAGCTCCCTTTTGAACCCTGTTATAGTATTGGCCTTCACAACACCCTCTAGCAAGGAGTTCTAGAGGTTGACAGTGCGCTGCGTGAAAAAATACTTTTTTGTGTTTGTTTTAAACCTGCTACCTATTAATTTCATTTGGTGGCCCCTTGTTCTTGTATTATGAGAAGGAGTAAATAACACTTCCTTATTTACTTCCTCTATACCACTCATGATTTTATAGACCTCTATCATATCCCCCCTTAGTCTCCTCTTTTCCAAGCTGAAAAGTCCCAGTCTTATTAATCTCTCTTCATACAGAAGCCGTTCTATACCCCTAATCATTTTTGTTGCCCTTTTCAAACCTTTTCCAATTCCAATATATCTTTTCTGAGATGGGGTGACCACATCTATTTCTATTTGTGTTATGAGACATCTGTATTTTTGAGGGTAATGGGGGGAAAAGAAAGGAAAGGGAAAAATACACAATTCCAATATACCATATTCCAAAATTCTTATGAGTTCAGTCATGGTATAACTTTTCAACACAGTCAAAGAATAATCACTGGAGACTGTTTGGCCATCAGATGAATACCACAGATCCTTCATGCATTTAAAAGGTACCTTTCTGTGTACTTGTACATAATTATATCAGACACATTTTTTTCCAAAAATAAGGAGCATATACTCTGTATCTCCCAATAGCTTTCAACCCACCTAAAGATAAAGACTCTGGCATTCTTATTATTTGTATTGTGGTAGTGCCTAGAAGCCCCATTCATGGATCAAGGTCCCATTGTGCTAGGCTCTGTACAAATATTCAACCAAAAGATGGTCACCATCCCAAAGACCTTACAATGTTTTTTCCTATAAATATCACCAGTTAGGTTAGCTCCACCAGGAGCTAAGAATGAATAGAAACCTTACAGGCTTCAGGACAAAATACAAAACCCATCTCTACTCTTTGACTTTATCATAGTTAGGTCAATAAAAGAAGAAAAAAATACAGAAAAACAAACAAACTGCTCCCTCGTGTTCCTGAAATGGAGCCGAGAGAGAAAAGAATACAGGACTAGGGTACGCCAACCACTTGTATGTAAATATGTTATCCATGTGGTATCTGAGAATATTAGTGCAGTATAAATAACTAGATAGACTAGTGTGAAAATCCCAGTAAGCTGTCTTTATTTAATATAGTGCTCCATCAAAGCCAGTAGGCCTGCTCATTCATTTATCTTTCCTGTTTCTATATAGTCCATAGAGGTTATATTTTTAGTATTCAAAAATAAAAATAATTACCATATATACTTGTTCATTAGCCCATTCATTTATAAGAAGACCCCCCAAGATGGATAAGTAAAAATAACGAAAAACTGTATGACCCTTTCATAAGCCAATCCTATATTTCAGGGGTTGGAAAACTTTGGCTCCCAGCCTTTCAGGGTAAGCCACTGGCGGGCCGGGCCGGTTTGTTTACCTGGCGCGTCTGCAGGTTCGGCCGATCACGGGAACGGCGAACCGTGGCCATAGGGAGCTGAGGGGCTCCATGCCTGCGGACGCTCCAGGTAAACAAAACAACAATGTATTAGATATTAAATTCAATGATTCCATAGAGCAGGGATCGGCAACCTTTGGCACGCAGCTCACCAGGGTAGCACCCTGGTGGGCCGGGCTAGTTTGTTTACCTGCCGCGTTCGCAGGTTCGGTTGATCGCGGCTCCCACTGGGTGCGGTTCGCCGCTCCAGGCCAATGGGGGTGGCGGGAAGCGGCAGCCAGCACATCCCTTGGCCTGCGCCAAAGGTTGCCGATCCTTGCCGTAGAGTTTAAAATCATCAAATTTTGGTGTAGACCTGTTTATAAGCCGACCCCCGATCTTTGATGCGTCACTTTTTTACCAAAAATATTCAGCTTATGAACGAGTATATATGGTACATATATCAGTGAATATTTTTAATTTAAGAAAAACAAGATTTTCTTTGCTGAATTCATTAATTTTGGTTTTCATATTTGTACTACCATTTTGGTGTCATCTGTTTTTATTCTAGATCACTGCTTATAACAGGCGCACCTTTGAGACTGCAAGACATAACTTGATCATTAATATAATGTCAGCAGAAGGTATGTACAGAAGAGATTTTGCAGCGCTCTAGATTGTGTAAGTGATAACTTGTTAAGATTACATGATTTTTAAGATTTGACAAAATACTGTCAAACATTAAGCAGTTTCAACTAAAAGCCTGAGTGGTGAGGAGGAGGTAAGGGAAACTTCCCTGTCTTGATTCATCCTGTTTGTTATTTTTTGCTAAACCGTTTTTGCCAGGGCTGATTTATGCCCGGTTCTTAAAAATTCTTCTGAAGAGCCAACTTTTTTGCTTTTGGAACCAAATTGTACCAAACTGTATATTTTCTACACCTACACCACATATAAGGGATATATCTCTTCTTCTGCAAAGTATTTGTTTTGAAACCAATAGTAGTGAGAGCTGTATTTGAGAAGTGCATCAAGCCTTTGAAGTTAAAGGACAAAGAAACATGCAGGGATGTCATCATTATTTTGCATCTCAGTTGGTTAATGAAAGACATATCTAACTGGAGGATTAGACTTTTAAAGCATAGAATGAAAAACTTTTTGCAAAGTTAGGGACACTGGATCAAATTAAGCAGTGACATAATCAAGTACTGCTCCATTGAGGTAAATTGAGTTGCACAATTTTGTCATCAACAATAGTAGATCTTGGATTTTGAAATGGAGGCAAGGAGGCCCAATATGCTTTTTTAATATCTTTATGAAAGACAACGAATTTCATAATATCAAACGCTTTATACAAGCAGTGACCTTCAAGATTCAGGTTGCCTTGCAAAACAGCTAGTTGCGTGTTCTATCAACTGTCATTGAAAAAAATTCTCCAGATAAATAGAATGAGCTAAATTCTAATTTCATTTATATTGGTGAAAATCTTGAGCAGCTCTGAAGTCTATGGAACTGCTCCAGACCTACAGTGTTGTTAAGTCCAGAATCTGGTTCACTGGGCCACATTTAGCAGAAATGTAGACGGTAGTGCAGGTTAGTCAAAAAAAGAGCATGTGGTAAAGAAACGTAATTTGCATTGATTTAGTATTCAGTGGGTAGGCAAAACAAGTGTCATACACAAAAGAGATTGTCATAAGAGAAGCACATAACAGAATGTTTTATAATAAGGTAAAGGGCTGCATTCTCTTCCACACTTTTCCTGTTATATACTCTAGTCAACACCCCCCTGCAAATAAAAATCCTTATCTACTGCTGCTTTTTCTGGGAGCAGCTTCCCTACATTCTTTTAGTTTATTATGTAAACACATTGGATATATTCTCTCCTATTCCACATACAGAACTCCTATTCTTGTCACTGGCAGTGTAATACTTACATTGAGTAGAGAATATGTCCCATTATCAGAAAAAAATATGGGTGCCACAAAGCAATAGTGGTTTTTTTCTTTTTCCTTTTCAAATTGTCATAGGGAGTGCTGAGCATTTTGGCCTCCATCCAGCAATGCATTTAAGCACTTAACTTTATGCACACGGTTAGTGCCATTAACTTTAATGGAACTGCTCATATGCTTAACTTTAAGTATGTGCTTAAGTGCATTGCTGAATCAGAGCTGTAATGCTCAGGGCCCTGCAATACCAAGCCTTCATTCCCTAGATTTTAAAAGCAACACATAGGCTTTTAACTTTGATACGCCTCTTGAATTTACTACTTATTTTATCGCTAAATCCCCACAACATATAGAGGCCAATAGCTGATGTATCACCAGACGAAGAAAATCCCTCCAAATGCATTTAGGTAACTGTGAAATGATTCACTACAGTTAAATCATAATGCTGAATGTGTGACAATCACTTCCACAGTTATAGACAAATGTCATAAAAACTCAGAAGAAAAACTGGTATGTGATCACAAAGCATCTATCTATTCTAAAAGTATCAAAAGAAACAAGGAAAAATGTCAGACAACAATTTTTTGCAAACATTTTTTCTCCTCAAATTTTCTCCAGTGTGAACATCCCTTTCATCTTCATATGTTGATTTGTACAATATACTCTATCATGCTTAACTAATAACATTTGTTTTATCATGAAAGATTGTGAAAGTCTTGTTTTACTAAATTTAAAAGCTAGTGCAAAACTAAATAAATAAACCAAGTGAAAAAATCAAATAGCATCTCCAAGAAGAGTGTAAAGGATTTAAAAACGAAGCATGTTGATATTCATTTAGGAAAACCTGTGTTCTTCAATACAGTTTGTAACCAGATTGCAGTATGTAACAATGTAAGTAAAATATTCAGTAGTCTGTAAAATCAGAAAACAAGACATAAATACATGTAATTTGAGTTAATGAGACCTGTAAAATGAAAATTCTTCTGGGTTTTCTTTAATATTTGAAAGAAGGCTTTTTATTTTATCAGAGCTCTGACCACTACTCCTGGCCTCCTCCAAGTACTTTTAGAATATCTATCTATGGGGAAAAAATGAAATGTGCATATTGAATTTGAGTGTGCACAGGATGCAAATACACAGTACCACAAAAATAGTTGCACATAAAACATAAAACTCAGGTGCAGCAGACAATGTTCTGTGGTAACTTTTACATTTAAAAAAGTAGATGTTTCAGGTTAACCAAGTTGCAAACAAATCACAGTTCAAAGCTGAAAACAATACAAGTCACCTTAAAAATACCAACACCACTGATCTGTCTTAAAATTAGAGCTGGGCAAACTTTTTCAGGCAAATTGAATTTTCACTGAAAAATCTGTTTTGGTCAACCTGAATCTATGAATTTGACACTAATAATTTTGACCATTCACAAAACAACCAGAGGAGGAGGAGGTGAAGGTTGTGGTGGTAATGGTGGTGATGCTGCTGCATCTGCTACTGCCCTTATATTATTTAGCTCAGTGGTTAGGGCATTCACTTGGGATATGGGACATAGAGGTTTGAATTCCTGCTCTGAAATATACCTGATATGGAATTTCTCAATCAACTGAAAAGTCAGAAAAAAATCAGATTTGGTTTGACCAAACTGATTTTTTTTTTTAAAACATATATTTCAGAACTGTCATCCAACTGAAAAATCAGTTATTTGCCCAGCTCGCCGTAAAATTTAGCAGACCATTCTAATTGTGGGTGTGGACAGTTTGTGCATTTTGAATTTACTGATTACTTAGACAAGAGGAAACTAAAGTGAGACCTACAATATAGTCTGTCATCACCTTCAGTTTCAACATGGAGTTGTGGCCTATTGCATTTACAGGTTCCAGCCTACAATATTTCATCTTGAATGAATCATCTCATGCCACTCAGGTCAGCGTATGAAGCAATGCAGGCTGGGACTTGTGGTCGTTGCAGGCCACTCCTCTTTGCCCAAGAGTAGGGTAGCTGCAATTTTCTTCATTTAATGCAGATTAAGTGTTGTCTTCAGGGGCCAGATCCTGTGCAGATGTAAATTGTCATAGTTTCATTGAAGTCACAGCACTATTATAATTTACACCAGCTGAAGATCAGCCCTCAGGTTATTTGCAGGTTGCCAGTAGCTCCATCAATAGGGCAAAGCTTGAGTGCGTCTTTAAAAAATAGTTGGTGCTATTATAAATAAACATAGTTTGATAATTAAACAAGAGTGGCCAGATCAGAATATAACTTGGTATCATAAAAGGATTTTAGGAAGGTGCCTTCTCAGTCTTCTTTAATAAGTCAGTAGTGCAGTACTCAACCACTATTTTAGATCTTTTGTAATAAAGACATAACTCTTTTCCTTCACAACTAGATTTTCCTTTACCATATCAAGCGGAGTTCTTCATAAAGAACATGAATGTAGAAGAAATGTTAGCAAGTGAGGTTCTTGGAGATTTTCTTGGAGCAGTGAAAAACGTGTGGCAACCAGAGCGTTTGAATGCTATAAACATCACCTCAGCTCTAGACAGGGGAGGCAGAGTTCCACTTCCTATTAATGATATGAAAGAGGGGTAAGTAAGCACATGTGTATATATATCTAATCTGTTTATAAGTCTTTAGCACTCAAAATAAGTGTCACTGAAGTGTTTAATGTTCCTTTCAGGCATTCAAGACTTTTTGGAAGTTACTTTTTAAAGAACAAACTTTTGGAAATTGTTATTAGATATTAAAAATACATACGTGCCCAGAGGCCCCAGATGGGGAGATCAAGGTCTTGTTAGGTGCTGGGAATTTACAATCAAAGAAACATTAACAGTTTTCCCTGCTTACAAAACAGGTGGAAGGAAATAAGACTCTCTTAATCTACAATTCCAGTCTTATATCCCAGTAACTGCAGAACCTAATTTTGATTCATGACTCTGAAGTTCTATAACATAGACCTCACAAAACTTAAAATTAGCTCAGCTGCATTCTGTTCCAAACATCACAGGCACATTTAAAGCTACATCTTCCAATACTATAGCTCTTAAATTTAGAGTTCACTGATTAATATTGCTTGTGAAGGGGGTCATGCCTTTGCATTAGAAGTTTTAGGAAAGTTTTTTTTTTTAAATATACAGATAAGAACTTACTGGAGAAATACGCCTTGAGCAAAATTTTCCTTTTTTAATGTTTTTTGATTGAGAGGCTTCTTGAAGTCTGTCACTACAGTTGAACAGCAGCTAAAGAAAATCTGGCACCCAACCCCCAAGTAAGGTATCAGTGAAGTTTGTTCATTGAACAGTGTCTTAAAGTGGATTATTTATGTATTACTATGCTGGCTAGTAAACTGACTCCTGGAATTTTTAAACACATGAACTAAAGAGATACGCAGCTTCCTCATCCTGTGTTAGCCACACCAGTGTATATAAGATGCTACATAGAGTTTCATCTGTGGTGTTTTTGAGTATTGCTCAGACTGTGCTCTGTGTACTCCCTGGCAAACTGAACCTAAATTCTGCTTCAGGGTCCCTGGATTCTGTGACTTTTTGGTGCAGCAGATTATATTCTGTAACAGTTTCATTTATTCATTTCAATTGAGATAAGTATGAAAATGAATAATAGTATCAGTACAGTAGCCCTTGTTTTATTTACTTTGACACTAAAATCAGTTTGTTTTGTCCCACACTCTGCTTTCAGTATGTTGTAAAATTTTGTATTGACAGTGCATAACTGTCTTGTGGAATTTGTTGAGAGAAGCTGGATGTTTTGACAGGTTGGCATCAATAATAAATTAATAAATTGCAGTTCTAATTTAAAGCATTTTCAAATACATTTTACAATTTACACGTGGGAAGAAGTGCTGATATATCCATGAATTTTCAAGAATGCTATGCTGAACAAAATTTTCTCTTATATGAAATGGAACTATTTTAACAGAACTTCCTCAAGTACTTTATCAATGATTTATTGCTGTTTTTACCTCAAAATCCTGAACTTTGAGCTTCGTAACTTTTTTAAAATGAAAACTGACTATTGCTAGTCATAATCACACAGTACACTCAAGCAGTAGTAGGAATGTAATAAGTAGCTAGAGAAACAGTTTGGTCCCAGTTCATTGGGCCTACATTGGAAAAAGTGATGTCATAGCCTATAAAACACAACTAGCTGTTTTAGAAATGAACTATGGTGATCATTGGAATGCAGAGGACTAGACTGTGTTCATTAAATATTTATTTATTAATGGATATCCTGATGACACTTTGTCACACATCTTTTTCTGCAGTGTCTATGTTATGGTTGGTGCAGATGTTCCATTCTCCTCATGCTTACGAGAAGTGGAAAATCCACAAAATCAGCTGAGATGCAGCCAAGAAATGGAACCTGTAATAACTTGCGATAAAAAATTTCGAACTGAGTTCAATATTGACTGGTGTAAAATCTCTTTGGTGAGTCACTTTGTGATAACATAAGAAGTGATGTGTTTGTAAATGCGCTACTTAGAGCTGAACATAGTGTGGCCAAGTATTTTGCAAGCCTCACTAAACAACTCTGCCAAATGCACCTCACTTGTGACTGATCAGACATAACTCTTCCTTCAGCAGAGACTGCTAGAATGTGGAGGAATTTTGCTATGTGGCTAGAAGTGTATTATAGTGCAGGCAAGACTAAAACCACCAAATTCAGTTTCCTTTGTGGTGACTTAAGTAGGATTTGAACCCATAAATGAACGCCTGGTTCATTAATTCACTGCACTAATATGCCTAGGTCTAACTCATTAACCTAAACAAAAAAATTGACATCAGTTACTGACATACTGAGTTGAGTAATTTAGCAATGTTTATCCTTGAATCACCTTGATTGATCATTCGTGTTGTTCTAGCCATTCCTTCAGCCACCTGCTGGCTAGGCTGTCAGGAGCACTAGGCGCACAATCAGCATAGCGCACCGCAGCCCAGAACCCCTGAGCTCAAGCAATCCACCAGCCTCCACCTCCCAGTTAGCTGGGATTACAGGCATGCACCATCATGCCCGGTTACAATGTTTATAAATTGTTAAAAACTTCTTCTGAACATAAACATCTCACATTAAATAAGAGGCAGAAAATGAAAATAAGATGAACTACTGGAGCCAAATGAAACTGGAAAATTTTCCTCAGGTTTATCAAGTAAAGGAGAAATATTAAGGAAAAAAATAGGACTACTGTTGGCAAGGGAAGCAGAATAATTCTGAAAAGGGCTGAATTTTTAAAATGGTTAGTTTTTCTCAGTTTTAAACAAAAAGCAAAGAAATTGAGGAATGGGAAGAATGTAATGCAACCAATGTTAAACAAAGATGGTTAGGGAATGTTCAGTAAAACCCGTATCTCAGTAGGGCCAAATGAGATGTATGCAGAAATTTTAAAAGAGCTAGCAGAGTAAGCTGAATCACCTGGTAATACTTAACACATTGTATTTCTTATCTTCATTGCATTTACAAATATTAATTTATCTTTACATGCTCCTCAGAGGTATGTTAATAAGCATTATGCCCATTTCATAAATGAGGAAACTGAAGAAAAGAGGTGAAATGTCTTACCAGGATTTTTTGGAGAGATTATCAGAATGGGGATTTTAAAACGTAAACACACCTAATTACCTGTCCATGTGCAGTCCAGTAGATCACCCATCCTCTGTCTTTCAATACATTTTGAATCAGAAGAGTTGCCTAAAACCTGTAAAAATGACAATTATTGCAAAAGGAAGAGCCATAAAATATCCACTGTTTCTGTGTCGATTGCTGAAAAAATTAGCATAAATTAGGGATGTCTGTAGAAAGGTGTCTAATAACAGACCAATTCAGGCCTGACAAGAGTTGCTGACGCAGAGTAGTGATCCAGAAGTGGGCCTGTGTGTCACAACATTGTCTAACACTTTCCATTATAGAGATTCTTGCCTTTTTTTAAAAGAAGCTCTGAAACCTCCATTGTTTGCAGCAGGCCTTTGAAATTCTGCAGGGACAAAGTCATGGGGCTATAGATATGCCTTTTGCTTGTTCAATGAAATTTTGTTCAGCTTTGAAAGTTTTACAATTAATAACTCAGTCATTTCCCTTCTGTTGCTTGCACTGGTCAGGAATTTTTTGGCAGCCTGCCACAATAATAACTGAATATGAACATTCTAAGGCCAGTGCTGTTTCCAGCACCGCCTCATCACGCAGTGTACTGAGAACATCTGGTAGCTGCCAGAGCAGCTCCCATAGCAGCAAGTGGAGTGAAGGAGGAAGTGGATTCAGACTTCCCTCTATCTGACCACACACCTCCCGGCATTGAACACATACCTCCACACATCTGCCTCCCTTCAGAGTTAAACATGGGGCAGGTGTTCCCAAAAGTTTGGGAGAGGGCTAGGCATTTAAATGCTCACTTACTATTTTTTCCACTTGACCTGTTTCACACAACACACAGATTGGCTGCACAAGGAGGCAGAATTAAAATTTCACAGAAAGCCATAAATCTAGCATTTCCTAATGTTTAAGTGCTTAACAACCTAAATAATGTTCTTTTAGCAGTTATTGAGGTGTTTTTTAATGTAACTATAAATAAGTTGTGTTTGGGTTTCAATCAATTATAAATTGGAAAACTGCACCAGAAGCAAATTTAACTTATTCAAATTAAACTGAAAATGCCCAATTCTTCTGCACCTAGGGCAAGCAGACATGTGGCTCCAGTTTTCAAGATTACACCTTTGCCCCCTTAAAATGTGGCTCAGGACAGTTTACCATATCACTCTTTAGTCTTTGGACAGAGTGGTCTGTCTCCCTCCACTGGTCCTGGACTCCTTGCAGTAGTGGACACTCCTAGAGAATGTTTGTCATGGAGTTTCCTTCATCTGGCCCTTATCAACCAAGTCTGTTGTCACAGATGCCTCCCTGATGAGATGGGAAGCATATCTGGGGTCACTGTACGTTCAAGGTCTGTGTTCAGAGCAGGAGTCCTCACTGCATATCAACTTACTGGAGCTTCTGACCATCTATGGTGCGTGTCACACTTTTCTGAACTGTATCAGGGGCTCAGTGGTTCGTTCACATACTTACCATAACACCGCAATGTATTATATGAACAGGCAAAGGGGAGCACACTCCAGGATGCTCTGCCAAGGGGCAATCAGGTTGTGGCAGTTCTTCATCGAGGAGAGTATCACTCCGATTGCTGACCACTTGCCCAGGGTCCAGAATCATCTCACAGACCATCTCAGCAGGAATTTTTACCTGGTCTCTGAAGACTACTGTGCTCCGGGCCATCTTTGCAGCTTAGGGCATTCTGATGATCAACCTGTTTGTTACGAGCAACATCAGGAAATGTCATCTGTTCTGCTCTCAAGAAGGCCTCAGACTGGACTCCCTGTCTGACATCATCTATCTTGGCTGCAGTCAGCACGTCTGTATGCTTTTCCCCCAATCCCAGTCATCCCACAGGTCATCCTCAAGCTGAAGGCGGATCGGGCCAAGCTCATTCTGATTGTCCCAGTGTGACTGAGGTAGTGCTGTTTCTCTGGCGTTCTCAGCCTCCCATATCCTGTCCTCTTTATCCAAACCTACTCACACAGAATCATGGTCACACTTTAAATCCTATGCTCAGCTCCCTGCATCTCGTGGTATGTCTGCTTCATGGCTAACTAAGGAGGAATTCTGGTGTTCCATGGCTGTTCAAAAGATCCTACTCCGTGGTAGAAAACCCTCTACCAGAATGGCCTATTCATAGAGCCTTGCAAATCCACAGATATCTGCTTTGTATCCATGGATGCGGATATCTGTGGATCATTTTTGCGGATCGCGGATCGGATGTGTAAACAAATTTTGTATCCATGCAGGACTCCACCTATTTGGCAAAATGGAAGCAGTTTTCGGTGTGGTTGTTGGCCTGCAGTGTTTAACCAATGCTGCCTTCTATTCAGGACAACTTTGAGTACTTGCTGCACCTTCAGTCATTGGGCCTTGTGCTTAGCTCATTGAGAGTACATCTGGCGGCAATATCAGCGTTTTGTCCCCCTATTCAGGAAAGATCAGTCTTCTCCAGTGCCACAGTAGCAAGATTCTTAAAAGGACTTCTTTATCTCCATCCTACGGTCTGAGAGCTGATTCCTCTGTGGCACCTTAACACGGTCCTAGTGGTTTTAATGGGACCTTCGTTTGAGCTCCTGGTATCTTGTCCCTTTCCGCGTTTGTGTCAGAAGACTGCATTCCTGTTAGTGATAACATCTGCAAGGAGAGTCTGTGAGTTGCAGGCTCTGATGGCAGAACCTTCATGCACGCAGTTCTCTACGGATAAAGTGACTTTACAACCACACCCCAAAAATTTTGTCTAAAGGGGTTTCTCGGTTTCATTTGAACCAGGTGGTATATTTACCAGTGTTCTTTCCTAAGCCATATTCATCTCCAGAGGAGCAGCATGTTCATACATGAGATGTCAGGTGATGTTTAGCCTTCTGTCTGTACAGGACTAAACAGTTTCATGCTTTGCCTCAGCTATGTGTGTCATATGCAGATCATATGAAGGCACAAGAGGTCTCTTCACAGACTCTGTCTAAATGGATATCCTCCAGTATCAAGACTGCATATGAAATGGCTTCAGTGGGTGAGAGCGCAAGCTGCATCAATAGCGTTCCTCAGTGATGTCCCATCCTTGGACATTTGCATGGCTGCTACATGGTCATCCATACATACATTTATGAACCGTTATGCCATTACCGCATCTTCCAGGGCAGATGCAAGCTTTGGTGGGGGCAGTCCTGCAATCCTTGTTTAGGTGGACTCGGAGCCCTGCCTCCTGGGGTGGGTACTGCTTGTGAATCACCTACATAGAATATACAGCTGCATCTACTTGAAGAAGAAGAAGAAGAAGAAGAAGAAACAGTTACTTACTGTAAATATGGTTCTTCAAGATGTGATGCAGATGTGTACCCCATGATTGATTCTCTGTCCCCTCTGCATTGGAGTCTAGCCTTTGGGCACTCGGTGCCAAGGATCTGAGGGGAATCAGGGCAGTGCTGCCTCATATAGCCAGGGGAGGGACCATGAGTGTGAATACCACCCCTCTATGGGTACTGCTAGACAAAATTCTCTGGCTCCAGTGCACTGGGTGCACACACACCTAAGTGGAATACATGGCTCCATCACATCTCAAAGAACCAATTACTGCAAGTAACCATTTCTTGTCCTCTGACATGGATCTGTACATCCCGGCAAGCAAATACTGCTGAATGCAGTGGCTAGTGCTAATGGCAGAGAGGCAGGAGCAGACTATGCCCCCCTCAGGGTCATGATTCCATTCAGTACTGCATCCAGCTCACTTCCTTTGAACACCAACTAGGGGGCAAAGAAACAGGTAGAAGAGACTTCCTATAACCTTTTTCCAGTCATTCATAACTCATTCATGCAACAGAGGGCAGGGTTTACTTTTTAGTATTTAAGAAATGTGCTTAATAGATAAATGTATTTGTTAAGAAATAAATCAATAGCCAATAATCAGATTATTGTAATACAAAAGTCGGTCTTTAGAATTTATTTTATCAAATAACAAAAATTTGTGTTGTTTGGTAAAATAAATTCAAAGGACATATTTTTATATTACTATAATCTGATATTTGCTATTGATCTATTTCTTAATAAATACATTTTTATATTTAATCTTACTTCCGTATATAAAAATAAAATAATGCAGGATGAGAATGAGTTAGTCAAAGTGTTACTTACAATATATCTGAAAATCAGCATAATTTCTTTAATTCGGTGAAACCAGAACTTTGAATAGATCCTCTAACTTCATTTATATGACTGATCAAAAATGTTTATCTTGTGCTATGGCAATGTTTAGAATGAGTCTTCAAAAGTGCTTTTAAAATATCTATTTTTTAGTGATGTCATAGATTCTTTGGAGATAAATGGTCTTCTAGTCAACAATTTTTTTAAATTACTGTTTTCATTTGTACAGCTATTCAGCTACTGAATAAATATTTTAGTAATCTTTTTAAAATTTGTCTTTTTAAGTTTTAATTTGTCACTTTATGCTGGTCTTCTAAATCATCCAATAATTGATAAGACTATATTTCATCTAATGAAATGAATGAGTCTGTTGTTACTTAGATTTAAGCGAATAAAAGAAACATTCACTTTACGTATTAATTATTTTCTGAAGTCTACTAGTTCATATATGTTACTATATGGGATTATTTTATTTTATATTGAGATTGAACAGGCACAAGCACAACCAGGGCATATAATTAAGTTCAAAATCCCTTATTGTGAAGTTAATACTAAATAATCGAGCTTTACTATTATACAGTAATTGATGACATTAATTTCCCCCCCTTTATTAGGGTTTGAAAGTGCTACATTGCTTCTTTCTTCTACTTTCTAGTGACTACAGTACACTTTGGGAGTGTGAGTGGGATGAATAATTGAACAGAAGCAGGATAAATATTACCTAATCAAAAACAGGGGAACTGGATATCTGAGGGAATTAATAATGGGATCTATACACCCTTTTTGCTTTATGTTACAAGAAGAGAAGAGTGAATAATGAGTTTCTTTGGTCAATGGCAATTCCAAAAAAAAAAAAAAAATTCAGCTTGAACCGAAAATGAAATTTTGAAATTTTCAGCCAATCAAAAAGTTAAAAAAAAGAATTGTCAGTGTTTCTTTTTGTATTTTATTTCTTTTTAGAATCGAAGGAAAATTTGAAATTACAAATAATTTCAAATAAAATCAAAACTTTCATTTTGAAAATATCCAAATGAAACATTTCAGGTTTTCAGAATGTTGGGGGTATCCCTCCCACCCCGCAAAAAAATAAACAATTTGATTAAATTGACACTAATTCGAGAAATGTTTTGGTGTCACTGAATCATTTTTCTTTGGCTGTAAAATTTCCATAGCTCTAGTTAAAAGTACAAAAGCTTGCCCTGGTTGATATTGACCAAAAATGGTTATTTGGTACCTTTCTGTCTTTGATAATTTTTCAGAGAGTTTATTGTATGCTCATTGAC